CCACCAACCACACGCAATTCCCACCACCACTGCCATTATAACGTAAATAAATAAATACTTTTTTTTATAAAACAACAAAAAATGTAGTTAAAACCATGAAGAACATTTGCTTCATAGCGAGCTCAGAAGTTTAAATGTATGATATAGGTCTACATGATGTTCATAGGATAAATGACGTTCTGTTTTGATGTTTTGATGTACAGCGTAGACCTCTCTCCCCACACACTGAGTTGGAACAGCCGGTAACCGACTCGTTTAATGGAATTCATAAAACTAGATGATCCCTTACATTTAAAAACATTCTATTTCTTATACTAGATAAAATAATATAAAAATAAGACCTGCCGAACAAGAGCTGTATACTTAGTATTATTTTAGGGTGTTGGCTGAGCCTTTTCGCCGGGAGACTTTGTCTCTACGGAAACCGTATTGAGAGGGGCCCTTTTTGTTGGGAATCATAATGACGGGAGCCGCGTTGTCGAGAGCCAAAATGACGGGAGCCTATTTGTCGGGGCCGTTTTGACGGGGCCCTTTCGTCACTGAAGTCGCAAGCTTAGACCCGCTTGACTGTGTGAATTTAAAGCGTGTTTGTGTAAACTTTTGCACTGGCTTTAGATTTCTTGATAGCTATATCTGTAGATCGAACATCCATATTTGTGCTTAGCCATTGAATTTAAATAAAAACACAGTAGAAAGCATACATGAATGCAGACCTCAAGAGAACCACATTGTTAAAAATTGATGTGTTTGTGGAACAGTTGATAAAGGGTAAAGTGGGTTTAATGGGCCAATAATTTAAAAATTACGGAATGTTCTGGAAAAGCTGTTAGAAAACTGTTGAATCATGCGTGTTAAACAAGTTTAGCGTGGGCGTTATGAAACACAATTATATCTGGTGGAGAAGATAATTAGTGTGGGCGTTATACAACCTACACAATTAGCGTGGGCGTTATACAACCTACATAATTAGTGTGGGTGTTATACAACCTACACAATTAGTGTGGGCGTTATACAACATACACAATTAGCGTGGGCGTTATACAACCTACACAATTAGCGTGGGCATTATAAAAACCTACACAATTAGTGTGGGCATTATACAACCTACACCATTAGCGTGGGCGTTATACAACCTACACAATTAGCGTGGGCATTATAAAAACCTACACAATTAGCGTGGGCGTTATACAACCTACACAATTAGCGTGGGCGTTATACAACCTACACAATTAGCGTGGGCGTTATACAACCTACACAATTAGTGTGGGCGTTATACAACCTACACAATTAGCGTGAGCGTTATACAACCTACACAATTAGCGTGGGCGTTATACAACCTACATAATTAGCGTGGGCGTTATACATCTACACATGAGAAGAACACATGAACAGATCAAGGGTTTCGCTGCATCTATTGGTTGTGTGTTGAAAAAACAAATTTTATGTTTGGTCTAAAAGTCGCCCTGCTTAACCGGGCCTAAGAAATGTGACCCCCCTCCCCCTCCGCCCCTAAGTTCGGGGAGGGCTTAGAAACCGATATAGAGACAATTAGGCTAGAAATCAAGAGCTTTACTACTCGACCACACGCAGAGGCGTAGAGACCCTTCCCGGCGCCCGGGGACAAACTTTTAATTTGGCGCCCCCTCGGGAACAAATTTAATTTTCAATTTGCACCCCACCCCTTAAACTTTCAATTTGCACCCCCCCCCCTTCAAACTTTCGATTTGCACCCCCTCAAACTTTCGATTTGCACCCCCTCCCCCGCCTCAAACTATCTATAATTTGTTTTTCCAACCCATTTTGGCTCCCCCTAAAGTCGGCGCCCGGGGACATATGTACCCCCCCCCCCCTCGCTACGCCTCTGACCACACGGGCCTGAGATGTATGACAAGAAGGACGGCTATGTATCAGACAGTTACATTTGCAAACTTGACAGGACGCATGCATTTGGACTCAATACGGAGTCACATCTTTAAGAGAGTCAAACCCAATGAGGAGTCCCATCTTTGTAAGCGTCAGGCAATACAGTTAGGAGTCACGTCTTTGTGATAGTCAGGCACAGCGAGGAGTCACATCTTTAGGAGAGTCAGGCACAGCCAGGAGTCACATCTTTGTGATAGTCAGGCACAGCCAGGAGTCACATCTTTGTGATGGTCAGGCACAGCCAGGAGTCACATCTTTGTGAGTCAGGCACAGCCAGGAGTCACGTCTTTGTGATAGTCAGGCACAGCGAGGAGTCACATCTTTAGGAGAGTCAGGCACAGCCAGGAGTCACATCTTTAGGAGAGTCAGGCACAGCCAGGAGTCACATCTTTAGGAGAGTCAGGCACAGCCAGGAGTCACATCTTTGTGATAGTCAGGCACAGCCAGGAGTCACATCTTTGTGATAGTCAGGCACAGCCAGGAGTCACATCTTTGTGATAGTCAGGCACAGCCAGGAGTCACATCTTTGTGAGTCAGGCACAGCCAGGAGTCACATCTTTGTGAGTCAGGCACAGCCAGGAGTCACATCTTTGTGAGTCAGGCACAGCCAGGAGTCACATCTTTGTGAGTCAGGCACAGCCAGGAGTCACATCTTTGTGAGTCAGGCACAGCCAGGAGTCACATCTTTGTGAGTCAGGCACAGCCAGGAGTCACATCTTTGTGATAGTCAGGCACAGCCAGGAGTCACATCTTTGTGAGTCAGGCACAGCCAGGAGTCACATCTTTGTGATAGTCAGGCACAGCCAGGAGTCACATCTTTAGGAGAGTCAGGCACAGCCAGGAGTCACATCTTTGTGAGTCAGGCACAGCCAGGAGTCACATCTTTGTGAGTCAGGCACAGCCAGGAGTCACATCTTTGTGATAGTCAGGCACAGCCAGGAGTCACATCTTTAGGAGAGTCAGGCACAGCCAGGAGTCACATCTTTGTGAGTCAGGCACAGCCAGGAGTCACATCTTAGTGAGCGTCAGGCAATACAGTTAGGAGTCACGTCTTTTGGGAGAGTCAAATGATTGTACTGTTAACAACCTTCTGTGTTTAACTTTCCCGAGAGCAGCTTGCTATTAAAAATGTATGAAGATTTTCATCTCAGCTTGTAAAGGACAAAAACGCTAAAAGTGTATGGAAATCACAATAGATGTTTTTTTTTAAACCTCATGTCAACAGCTGAGACTTGACCAAGATATCGTATGAGTCACCAGCAATGTTAGCAAATGTTAGCCAATGTTAGCCTATGTTAGCCAATGTTAGCCTATGTTAGCCAATGTTAGCCAATGTTAGCCTATGTTAGCCAATGTTAGCCTATGTTAGCCAATGTTAGCCAATGTTAGCCAATGTTAGCCAATGTTAGCCAATGTTAGCAGATGTTAGCCAATGTTAGCCGATGTTAGAAAATGTTAGCCAATGTTAGCCGATGTTAGCCAATGTTAGCCAGTGTTAGCCAATGTTAGCCAATGTTAGCCAATGTTAGCCAGTGTTAGCCAGTTTTAGCCAATGTTTACCAATGTTAGCCAATGTTAGCCAATGTTAGCCAATTTTAGCCAATTTTAGCCAATGCTAACCAATGTTAGCCAATGTTAGCCTATGTTAGCCAATGTTAGCCAATGTTAGCCAATGTTAGCCAATGTTAGCCAATGTTAGCCTATGTTAGCCAATGTTTACCAATGTTAGCCAATGTTAGCCAATGTTAGCCAATTTTAGCCAATTTTAGCCAATGCTAACCAATGTTAGCCAATGTTAGCCTATGTTAGCCAATGTTAGCCTATGTTAGCCAATGTTAGCCAATGTTAGCCAATGTTAGCCAATGTTAGCCAATGTTAGCCAATGTTACCCAATGTTAGCCAATCTTAGCCAATGTTAGCCAATGTTAGCCGATGTTAGCCAATGTTAGCCAGTGTTAGCCAATGTTAGCCAATGTTAGCCAATGTTAGCCAGTGTTAGCCAGTGTTAGCCAATGTTTACCAATGTTAGCCAATGTTAGCCAATGTTAGCCAATTTTAGCCAATGCTAACCAATGTTAGCCAATGTTAGCCTATGTTAGCCAATGTTAGCCAATGTTAGCCAATGTTAGCCAATGTTAGCCAATGTTAGCCTATGTTAGCCAATGTTAGCCAATGTTAGCCAATGTTAGCCTATGTTAGCCAATGTTAGCCAGTGTTAGCCAATGTTAGCCAATGTTAGCCAATGTTAGCCAATGTTACCCAATGTTACCCAATGTTACCCAATGTTAGCCAATCTTAGCCAATGTTAGCCAATGTTAGCCAATGTTAGCCAATGTTAGCCACGGCTACAATGTTTTGGATAATGCGCACGTAACATACATGTTTGGACCAATAGACATCAACCATTTAACGAAATGCCTTTCATCATTATTCTTGACATGGATAAAAATCGTGTTTTTGTTAATTTCACCTTCATTGGCCGATAAACAATATTTTTAAAACTTCAACTTGAAAAACGTTTTTGAAAAATATTAATATTTTAAGAATTAATGGCATAATAGCTGCAAATACAGAGATCTTGAAAATAATTTATTGTGTTTAAGGCTATATTTCTATTCGTTCTCATGATTCATCAAACCTAAATTATAAGCCAAAGTCACTATCACAAGACAAGCATTGATTAGCTGTACAGAAACTCCGTGATCAATCTTCTGTAAACACCCTACTTTCTAGTAATTTGTGTTAAAAACTTGGCAGATAAAGTTTTTTTTTTAATTATTCATGTTTATTTACATTTTCAGTTACAAAATGAAAATAAGCAAGTTGTTTTTGGTTTTTTGGCTTTTTTTTTTAATTATGTATAGTTTCCGAAAATGCTAAAAAAACATTAAATACATCCTATCTTTAGTCAAGTCTGACAAAAACCAAATAGGTTTTTATAACTATATTTATTTTATTAACATCGTACATGATTTTTAGTGGACTTTTCTACGGTTGACTATTCTCATTGATTTCCACTAAATATCTTTAATGGCTGTCATTTACATTCTCTTGTTGTTGGTTATTTATAGAACACCTGGAGCTGTCGATAGGAGAATGGGTGACCGCAACAGTGTAAACAAATGAGCACTTCTCTAGTGAGTCCGCCTACAAGATTTGATTGAGTTTCTTCTTCCATGGAGGCCACTGAGTATAGCGGTCTTGGTGCACAGGTGAGTTGGTGGCTGGTGGTTGGTGGTTGGTGGTTGGTGTAGGGGTGATATGTTGGTGGTTGGTGTAAGGGTGAGTTGGTGGTTGGTGTATAGGTGAGTTGGTGGTTGGTGGGTGTATAGGTGAGTTGGTGGTTGGTGTATAGGTGAGTTGGTGGTTGGTGTATAGGTGAGTTGTTGGTTGGTGTAGGGGTGAGTTGGTGGTTGGTGTATAGGTGAGTTGGTGGTTGGTGTAGGGGTGAGTTGGTGGTTGGTGTAGGGGTGAATTGGTGGTTGGTGTAGGGGTGGGTTGGTGGTTGGTGTATAGGTGAGTTGGTGGTTGGTGCAGGGGTGGGTTGGTGGTTGGTGTAGGGGTAAGATGTTGGTGGTTGGTATAGGGGTGAGTTGGTGGTGGTTGGTGTATAGGTGAGTTGGTGGTTGGTGTAGGGGTGAGTTGGTGGTGGTTGGTGTATAGGTGAGTTGGTGGTTGGTATAGGGGTTAGTTGGTGGTGGGTGGTTGGTGTAGGGGTTAGTTGGTGGTGGGTGTAGGAGTGAGATGGTGGTGGGTGTAGAGGTGAGTTGGTGGTTGGTATAGAGGTGAGTTGGTGGTTGGTGTAGGGGTTAGTTGGTGGTGGGTGGTTGGTGTAGGGGTTAGTTGGTGGCTGGTGGTTGGTGTAGGGGTGAGTTGGTGGCTGGTGGTTGGTGTAGGGGTGATATGTTGGTGGTTGGTGTAAGGGTGAGTTGGTGGTTGGTGTATAGGTGAGTTGGTGGATGGTGGGTGTATAGGTGAGTTGGTGGTTGGTGTAGGGGTGAGTTGGTGCTGGTTGGTGTAGGGGTGAGTTGGTGGTTGGTGTAGGGGTTAGTTGGTGGCTGGTGTTTGGTGTAGGGGTTAGTTGGTGGCTGGTGGTTGGTGGTTGGTGGTTGGTGTAGGGGTGATATGTTGGTGGTTGGTGTAAGGGTGAGTTGGTGGTTGGTGTATAGGTGAGTTGGTGGTTGGTGGGTGTATAGGTGAGTTGGTGGTTGGTGTATAGGTGAGTTGGTGGTTGGTGTATAGGTGAGTTGTTGGTTGGTGTAGGGGTGAGTTGGTGGTTGGTGTATAGGTGAGTTGGTGGTTGGTGTAGGGGTGAGTTGGTGGTTGGTGTAGGGGTGAATTGGTGGTTGGTGTAGGGGTGGGTTGGTGGTTGGTGTATAGGTGAGTTGGTGGTTGGTGTAGGGGTGGGTTGGTGGTTGGTGTAGGGGTAAGATGTTGGTGGTAGGTGTAGGGGTGAGTTGGTGGTGGTTGGTGTATAGGTGAGTTGGTGGTTGGTGTAGGGGTGAGTTGGTGGTGGTTGGTGTATAGGTGAGTTGGTGGTTGGTATAGGGGTTAGTTGGTGGTGGGTGGTTGGTGTAGGGGTTAGTTGGTGGTGGGTGTAGGAGTGAGATGGTGGTGGGTGTAGAGGTGAGTTGGTGGTTGGTATAGAGGTGAGTTGGTGGTTGGTGTAGGGGTTAGTTGGTGGTGGGTGGTTGGTGTAGGGGTTAGTTGGTGACTGGTGGTTGGTGTAGGGGTGAGTTGGTGGCTGGTGGTTGGTGTAGGGGTGATATGTTGGTGGTTGGTGTAAGGGTGAGTTGGTGGTTGGTGTATAGGTGAGTTGGTGGATGGTGGGTGTATAGGTGAGTTGGTGGTTGGTGTAGGGGTGAGTTGGTGGTTGGTGTAGGGGTGAATTGGTGGTTGGTGTAGGGGTGGGTTGGTGGTTGGTGTATAGGTGAGTTGGTGGTTGGTGTAGAGGTGAGTTGGTGGTTGGTATAGGGGTGAGTTGGTGGTGGGTGTAGGAGTAAGATGGTGGTGGGTGTATAGGTGAGTTGGATGTTGGTGTAGTGGTGAGTTGGTGGTTGGTGTAGAGGTGAGTTGGTGGTTGGTGTAGGGGTGAATTGGTGGTTAGTGTAGAGGTGAGTTGGTGGTTGGTGGGTGTATAGGTGAGTTGGTGGTTGGTGGGTGTATAGGTGAGTTGGTGGTTGGTGTAGGGGTAAGATGTTGGATGTTGATGGTTGGTGTAGGGGTGAGTTGGTGGTTGGTGTTGGGGTGAGTTGGTGGTTGGTGTAGGGGTAAGATGTTGGTGGTTGATGGGTGTATAGGTGAGTTGGTGGTTGGTGTAGGGGTAAGATGTTGGTGGTTGGTGTTGGGGTGAGTTGGTGGTTGGTGTATAGGTGAGTTGGTGGTTGGTGGGTGTATAGGTGAATTGGTGGTTGGTGGGTGTATAGGTGAGTTGGCGGTTGGTGTAGGGGTGATATGTTGGTGGTTGGTGTAGGGGTGAGTTGGTGGTTGGTGTAGGTGTGAGTTGGTGGTTGGTGGGTGTATAGGTGAGTTGGTGGTTGGTGTAGTGGTGAGTTGGGGGTTGGTGTAGTGGTGAGTTGGGGGTTGGTGGGTGTATAGGTGAGTTGGTGGTTGGTGTAGGGGTGAGTTGGTGGTTGGTGGGTGTATAGGTGAGTTGGTGGTTGGTGTAGGGGTGAGTTGGGGTTGGTGTAGGGGTGAGTTGGTGGTTGGTGGGTGTATAGGTGAATTGTTGTTCTTTGTATATGTGACATGTTGGTTGTTGTAAAGGTTTATAATTGGTGTAAATTTGAGTTCTTAGTTGGTGGACATCGATGTAACATTTTTCAGCTTCCCAGCTGTGTTGTAAACAATCAGCTGCTCCATCTGAGCTCGCTATTTTTGTCTTGTGACTCTTGTAAACAAATGTCCATTTTACAGCCAAGTATAAATCATTGACGAGGTGTTGAAAGACTCCCAGCTCGCCACTGCTCGTGTACTAGCATAACTGCATGCTTGGAGATACAGTGCATTGTTTGTTGAAACCACGAACTGTTGATGACAAATTGGTGTGGGGAAATTGTCTCTCGCTTCTCGTTAGTGCTCTCCCCTGGCAGCTGTTTCAAAGCGTGACAACTCTGAACAAAAGTCGACCAGAGACCTCCCTTACCTCCCATTTTCACGTTTGTTATGAAGCACTTTCTTAGTTCGATAGGAACAATATTAGTACATTCTTACTACCGTATAAACAGCACCATGGTCTTCCCTTCCCCCCCCCCCTGTCCTGGGTGTTAGGAACCCATTTGGATAGAAGCAAAGCTCACCAGAACCAGAGTCTTAGAGTACACACAAGGCCGCTGCTTATATTAGCCAACCGGAAGTAGGTGAACGAGATTATCGAATCCATTGTCTGGTTTCATTAAGTCAGACGGACGGTCTTTGTGGGCCGGCTTTGTTTTAAGCTAATCTTTGTTAAGTCTTTAGTGAAGGGAGTCTGCTTTTGGAAGGTCAATATAGTAGTGGCTTCCATGTCACATGTGAATACACACATATATATATATATATATATATATATATATATATATATATATATATATATATATATATATATATATATACCGCTGATTGTCGATAGCAGAAACATTTGATGCCAGACACCATCTTAGCTTTTAACCTTTATTTTAATTTAAAATATTTTGTTTATGGAAAAAAAAAACATTTAATAAAGTGTCCATTTCATTGATAGCTTAAAATATAACGCCATGGTTACGAATTTAGTCAAATATAAAAGAAACTTAATATTGTTTTTAAAATTTCAAACGTTTATGAATATTTGGAAAGAACTTCGAAGTTGAGATCTATCCACTTTCTTGTATCTACGATCAAATAATTTTAGAATTATGTTTTTTATGTTTTAAAATACATGAAACTTGCAAAAAAAAACACACATTTCAATTTAAGAATAAAGAATAAGTTTTGGATGGAAATATTCAGGCTTATAGCCCCTAAAGACCAACGGTTAAATAAAGAAATACAGTTTGAGATCCACCCTCCTTAGAACACTGAGGTACCGACCTTACCACCCCCACAATCAGATGTGGTCTAATCTAACTTAGACCTGCCGTCTACCACGTCTAATGCTGCTAATGCTGCACTGCTTATGATGACAACATTTCTGACACACACAACAAACTCCACCTCCAGACTGGCTTTGTGTCAATTCAAGGTTCTTATTTTAGACATCGGGATTTCCCGGTGGATGAACTGAGAAGAAAAATTGAACTCGTACATGCACTTATCAACATTTTTTTAATGGCATATGGTAAACTTAAATAGAAAATCTTCCCTAAGTCTAGATCAGTCTGCACCTGACTGAAATGTTAACATAGATCTAACTGCACTATGTTGAATGTTGACATAGATCTATCTCCACAGGGCTGAAATGTTGGCGTAGATTTAACTGCACTGTTAAAATGTTGACATAGATCTCTCTGTACTGATCTGACTTATTAGGGGTGATCTGCCCCTAACATGAATTTTTATTGTGAAATAAATGTTTAAAGTATTCAATGATTTACACCAGGGGTCTCCAAACTTTTCAGTCAGGGGCCGCATTAACTATCAAATTTCAGTTCGGGGCCAGTTTCTTCCAGACATGTCTTTAATTTTTCTGGGCAAAGTTCCTCAGCCATCACCAACAAACGGTTTTTCCGTGGACAAAAAGATCTCCGCGGGCCGGATGAGAGTACATCGCGGGCCGCATTCGGCCCGCGGGCCGTAGTTTGGAGACACCTGATTTACACAATCATAAATATTAAATTCTGTGCCAGCAAATAATCCCATCATAATTACACCTTGAGAGTTTAGATCTCACAAAACTTGACGACTAACAGTTATTGCTTGATGTAGTTGTCAACATAAATAGATTTTTTTAAAGTTGATGGGAAGTAGTGTGGGTGATGTGGGGCGTAGTGTGGGCTGTAATGTAGTAAGTAATTCAGAAGTGTCAGTACTCTACTGTATTCTCTTCAAATATTTATAACTATCGGAAGTTTTTCTTTTATTGAAAACGACACTGGCCTACATAGAATTGGCCCGAACATTTGTTCAGTAGATCTTTTATGTTAATATATGTAGCTGTGGTTTGTTGTTTAGGACATTAGTCCTCTCAAGTTCCTACACAACGACCCACAAACCTCTATATTTACATGTTCTTGATGTAGCCTGGTGTTCCATAACTCCACCTAGTTTCTGACATTTTCCTGATTAGATAGCCCGCTCATCTGATATCTCGCCTACACGTAACTTTGGCTTATGACATCTCTCCTTAACGTGAAGCTTACATCACGCCTACACATAAAACATGGCATATGACATCACGCCTACACTAAAGTTGGCATATGACAGCTTACCAACACGTAACTTTGGCTTATGACATCTCGCCTACATGTGAAGTTTGCTTATGACATCCCACTTACACGTAGAGTTGGCATATGACATCTCACTTACACCTCTGACATGTCTACTTACAGAATGTTGACGTGTACTCACCTACACATCTGTCTACTTACAGAATGTTGATGTGTACTCACCTACACATCTGGCATGTCTACTTACAGAATGTTGACGTGTACTCACCTACACATCTGTCTACTTACAGAATGTTGACGTGCTCTCGGCCAGAACACAGGATCTGCTGGTTCAAGCTGCCAAGGAAAAATGCAACAAGGAGATCTTCAGCCAGCAGAACAACAGCCAAAAAGGTAGGGATTTACCCCCAGCAGAGGCGTAGCGAGGGGGGGGTGCGGACCGCATCGGGTGACACCATTTAGGGGAGTGACGCCAAGGCAAAAAATAGTAAAATATATAGAGAAAAATTTGAGGGGGGGGGGGGGTGCAAATCGAAAGTTTGAAAGTTTGTCCCCGGGAAAAGAGTCGCTACGCCTCTGTGGGGTGATACCATTAAGTGCCGCACCGGGTGACACCCGACCTCGCTACGCCACTGACCCCCAGGTCACATATAGTACGTTTTACCTGTAGTTGACATATAGGTAGGTTTTTATCCTTAGGTCCCATATAGTAAGAATTTACTTGTAGTTTCTATATAGGTAGTTTGACCTGTAGTTTCTATATAAGTAGATTTTACCTGTAGTTTCCATGTTGGTATGTTTATACCTGTATCAGCCATATATGCCTAGATCGTTTTACCTGTAGCTGCAGTAATATATGTATGTTTTTACCTGTAATTAGTCCCATCTGTAGAACGTAAGACAGTAACAAAACTCCGCCATGCCTCCCAGACTTGAACGAACAACATGGGTTCGTGCCAAGTTTTGTCTGTGGTCAGCAGCTTTCTTCCCTCTCCCCCCCCCCTTTCTGGAGCACATACACTGCCACCCCAGCCCAGGACGAAGTAGAAAAAAAGTATAAAAAATATACTTGAACCAATGTCTCGGAACAAAGCTCTTAAACAAACCCTGCTGTTTGTTTTCATCTGGTCTTTTCGCGACCCATTCTAGCAGGAAGTGAAACTTTTACTAACCACGTGATCTGTTTTGTCCAATCGTAGGCAGCTACTGCAACACCACGTGGGACGGCATCATGTGCTGGCCGGAGACTTTGGCGGGAAAAGTGGCCGTCCAGCCTTGTCCGAAATACATCCACAATTTTTACATCCACGGTAAGTCGCAATTTTCAAATCCAACTCTCAAACTTGACCCAACTCGTCCAAATCTTTTGCCCAAATGGCTAAAAAAATTGTCTTGTTAATTTGACAAAACCTATCTAGAATCGTATTTTTCTCTTTGATTTTTTAAGTTAAACTGATTACTTCAGCATTTTGAATTTTATTTTAATAATCTGTAACATGCATCATTCAGTTATCTGTGAAGTGGGCATTCCGTAAAGTGGAAAACGTACAGGGTTCTGATTGGCTTCTATTTTTAGCTCTTCGCCGCTATTTATGAACAAGATAGAAAAGACGTGTTTTTCTAAACTGCAATATGTCACAGTTGTTGACAGATGTCACAGTTGTTGGCGAATGTCAGAGATTTGAGATTTTAAAATAAAGTTTGTTGTTCTAGAGAGGACTTAATGTAAGGCTTCACGCGCAAAATTATTTTATTTTTATCCCTGTGCTAAAAATAGACTGGGAATTTCCCCTAATTCCCTTTTCGCGCACTAACACGTTATAGGGATCGGGAAGTTGGAAGAGTGACCACGTGGCTTTGTCCAACGAAATTTCTCACTCGATTCTGGATGAGTTTCGCGAGTTGCTTCAGCTTTATTGCATACTAAGCATGCGATCGGAAAAAGTGAATTGAGTGGGTGTTGGTCATTTAGGCCTAGAGGTTTGACTGACTCCGGACCATGGTTGAACTAGCCCGCCTGTCTACTGAGAAAATACCAATGTGCCCCCCCCCCCCCCCCCCCTCAGGAAAACATTACGTTGGGTCCCCGGGAAAAAAATTTCATGATCCCACAGGAACGGTGCTGTAATAATAGTCCAATTCATGTTTTGATTTTTTTTTTAAACAATTCGTTACTTCTCCATTTTACCATTCCCATTCCTTCATACTCATACCAATGCGTAAAATTCAATTTCATGGGGGATAATGCATCATGAAAATTTGAATATAGATTTGGGGGCCCCTTTGAAAATTTCCCGGGCCTCTTAGACACAGCCAGTCCAACCCTGCCATGGTCAATGCTGTCTGTAAAACGAACATGCCCATCCATTTCAAATTATCGGCGTCACGATTACGTCACAAAACTGTCACATCGAGTTAAAGGTTTCGTTACGTTTTTAAAAATTAAACTTGATATTGTGCCATAATAAAAGTGTTTACCCAGCTAGCTTAAGTCCTGACAACAGCGTTCACTTATATAACCCTCAACATGACTACAGAAACAAATGAACTCTACTTTATCTACACTAGCTCATTATCCCGGGCGTAGTTACAATATGTAGGCCATGTTTTTAAACGCATTGCCATGGGAATTAATATTAAATTGTAGTTATGTTAACATCTTTTTGTGCAGGAAAAATGTAAGGCACTTTAAAAACTGAAAGTGGCGCGATGTTTAGTAAACAAACAAGTTTCAGGCATTTAAATCCTGGCCATGTGCAGCCATTGGCTAAAAATTACCTAAGGGAGATCATTCTATTTTCATTATTTCGGGCATTTTCTTTTTAAAATATGACCCAGGGCTTTTTACACTACTTGAAAATTAAATTAAAACAATAATTATTAAGTAAATATAAGGGCGCATTTGTCCTAAATAAAAACGTACATTAATGCTATGTTCTTTGTCTATTTTCTAACTTGAAGTTTAACTTTTAACATTTTTACACTAAAAAGTAAATTATCGTTTATTTGAAAATGTAGGCTATTCATATGACATAGAGTTGAGTGAACTATAGGCAATATCTGTGAAATCTGATACAAGCTGCGTTGATTAGTCTAGGCTGGTAGGGCAGACTACGTAGATTTGTGTAGGCTGGTAGGGCAGACTACGTAGATTTGTGTAGGCTGGTAGGGCAGACTACGTAGATTTGTGTAGGCTGGTAGGGCAGACTACGTAAATTTATGTAGGCTGGTAGGGCAGACTACGTAGATTTATGTAGGCTGGTAGGGCAGACTACGTAGATTTGTGTAGGCTGGTAGGGCAGACTACGTAGATTTATGTAGGCTGGTAGGGCAGACTACGTAGATTTATGTAGGCTGGTAGGGCAGACTACGTAGATTTGTGTAGGCTGGTAGGGCAGACTACGTAGATTTATGTAGGCTGGTAGGGCAGACTACGTAGATTTATGTAGGCTGGTAGGGCAGACTACGTAGATTTGTGTAGGCTGGTAGGGCAAACTACGTAGATTTATGTAGGCTGGTAGGGCAGACTACGTAGATTTGTGTAGGCTGGTAGAGCAGACTACGTAGATTTGTGTAGGCTGGTAGGGTAGACTACGTAGATTTGAGTAGGCTGGTAGGGCAGACTACGTAGATTTGTGTAGGCTGGTAGGGTAGACTACGTAGATTTGTGTAGGCTGGTAGGGCAGACTACGTAGATTTATGTAGGCTGGTAGGGCAGACTACGTAGATTTGTGTAGGCTGGTAGGGCAGACTACGTAGATTTAAGTAGGCTGGTAGGGCAGACTACGTAGATTTGTGTAGGCTGGTAGGGCAGACTACGTAGATTTATGTAGGCTGGTAGGGCAGACTACGTAGATTTATGTAGGCTGGTAGGGCAGACTACGTAGATTTGTGTAGGCTGGTAGGGCAGACTACGTAGATTTATGTAGGCTGGTAGGGCAGACTACGTAGATTTATGTAGGCTGGTAGGGCAGACTACGTAGATTTATGTAGGCTGGTAGGGCAGACTACGTAGATTTGTGTAGGATCCTAATACCGCTGCTTTAAAATGGGTGTATCAATATACATTTAGAGAAATCTTTCAGACCAGACGCTCCATGGGTAGATGAAGTAGAGTTCGTACGTTTTTTCTAATCTTGTGAAGGTACAGTTCGATCAGCGCTAGGGTAGCAGCCTCTACATGGCCCTTTAGGTACCCATTAAAGCTGAGTGAACTCAGCTGCGAGCCACACCCTCGTATTAATAAACCGAACTCGTGATTTCAGGGTTACTAGTCATGTGCTCTACCGCTCGATACATGTACAGCTAATGTATCAAATATATTTTATAGTGACATTTGTCCCCGGTGTGTCAAATATATTTTATAGTGACATTTGTCCCCGGTGTGTCAAATATATTTTATAGCGACATTTGTCCCCGGTGTATCAAATATATTTTATAGCGACATTTGTCCCCGGTGTATCAAATATATTTTATAGTGACATTTGTCCCCGGTGTGTCAAATATATTTTATAGCGACATATGTCCCCGGTGTGTCAAATACATTTTATAGCGACATTTGTCCCCGGTGTATCAAATATATTTTATAGCGACATTTGTCCCTGAGCTACTAGTATTATATTATACTTTATAGTTTTAGCCTGCTGTTAACCAGTCTTAATAAAGGTTATAGTTTTAGGAAGCTGGTAACCAATTTCTTAAATTAAGGTCAAAGTTCTAGCCTGCTGATAACCAATGACTTAAACTAAGGTGGTAGCTTTAGCCTGCTGTTAACCAATGTCTAAATTAAAAGTGACAATGATGATATCGCTGATTCAGGCACCGCAAGCAGGAAGTGCCTGGAGAATGGGGAATGGTTCTACCACTCCGGCTTCAACACCACCTGGACCAACTACACCGAGTGTGGCAACAGGCCCAAGGACTTCATCGGGATAGACAAGGTGTCGGTCTCACAGGTAAGCTCTACTGCCACCTCTTGTAGTACTGTCACATGTAAACTCTACTGTCACCTTTTGTTGAACTGTCACAGGTAAGCTCTACTGCCACCTGTTGTTGTACGGTTAAATGTACTCTTCCTCTTGCAGGTAATTCTCCTGTCACAGGTAATTTTCCTTGCAGGTAATTCTACTGTCACAGGTAATTATCCTTGCAGGTAATTCTCCTGTCACAGGTAATTTTCCTTGCAGGTAATTCTCCCGTCACGGGTATTTCTTGCAGGTATTTTTCCAGTTCCGGGTAAATCACCACGTAGGTAATTGTACTCGCAAGTAAGGGTTCGTCCGCATATGGCGTCACACTCCTCGAGGGGAGGGGTTTGGAGTTTCGTGGGTATGACAAGGGGGAGGGTGATTTCAGAAAGCAAGGAGCCAAGGATCAAAATGAGATTAGCCTTACTTGCGCGTTTTTTAAATACTCTTTTTGTAAATTGTAAAGAAATTAACTAAGATACTCAATTTTGACCGTCCTTAGTCAAAATATTTTAAAGAAATCGACGTTTTGAAAAACAAAAACTACAATTTAGAGTGGAGGTTGATGTATGACGTTGTTTTAGAGTAAGAAATGTGTCTTTTTGTGACGATGTATAACGGTGTTTTAGAGAGAGAAATTTGTCTTTTTGTGACGATGTATGACGTTGTTTTAGAGAGAGAAATTTGTCTTTTTGTGACGATGTGTGACGTTGTTTTAGAGAGAGAGAAATGTGTCTTTTTGTGACGATGTATAACGGTGTTTTAGAGAGAGAAATTTGTCTTTTTGTGACGATGTATGACGTTGTTTTAGAGAGAGAAATGTGTCTTTTTTAGACGATGTATGACGTTGTTTTAGAGAGAGAAATGTGTCTTTTTGTGACGATGTATAACGGTGTTTTAGAGAGAAAAATTTGTCTTTTTGTGACGATGTATGACGTTGTTTTAGAGAGAGAAATGTGTCTTTTTGTGACGATGTATAACGTTGTTTTAGAGAGAGAAATGTGTCTTTTTGTGACGATGTGTGACGTTGTTTTAGAGAGAGAAATGTGTCTTTTTTGTGACGATGTATGACGTTGTTTTAGAGAGAGAAATGTGTCTTTTTGTGACGATGTATGACGTTGTTTTAGAGAGAGAAATTTGTCTTTTTGTGACGATGTATGACGTTTTTTAGAGAGAGAAATGTGTCTTTTTTGTGACGATGTATGACGTTGTTTTAGAGAGAGAAATGTGTTTTTTGTGACGATGTATGACGTTGTTTTAGAGAGAGAAATGTGTCTTTTTGTGACGATGTGTGACGTTGTTTTAGAGAGAGAAATGTGTCTTTTGTGACGATGTATGACGTTGTATTAGAGAGAAAAATTTGTCTTTTTGTGACGATGTATGACGTTGTTTTAGAGAGAGAAATGTGTCTTTTTGTGACGATGTATGACGTTGTTTTAGAGAGAGAAATGTGTCTTTTTGTGACGATGTGTGACGTTGTTTTAGAGAGAGAAATGTGTCTTTTTGTGACGATGTATGACGTTGTTTTAGAGAGAGAAGTGTGTCTTTTTGTGACGATGTGTGACGTTGTTTTAGAGAGAGAAATTTGTCTTTTTGTGACGATGTATGACGTTGTTTTAGAGAGAGAAATGTGTCTTTTTGTGACGATGTGTGACGTTGTTTTAGAGAGAGAAATGTGTCTTTTGTGACGCTGTATGACGTTGTATTAGAGAGAGAAATTTGTCTTTTTGTGACGATGTATGACGTTGTTTTAGCGAGAGAAATTTGTCTTTTTGTGACGATGTATGACGTTGTTTTAGAGAGAGAAATGTGTCTTTTTGTGACGATGTGTGACGTTGTTTTAGAGAGAGAAATGTGTCTTTTTGTGACGATGTATGACGTTGTTTTAGAGAGAGAAGTGTGTCTTTTTGTGACGATGTGTGACGTTGTTTTAGAGAGAGAAATGTATCTTTTTGTGACGAAGTATGACGTTGTTTTAGAGAGAGAAATGTGTCTTTTTGTGACGATGTGTGACGTTGTTTTAGAGAGAGAAATGTGTCTTTTGTGACGATGTATGACGTTGTATTAGAGAGAAAAATTTGTCTTTTTGTGACGATGTATGACGTTGTTTTAGAGAGACAAATTTGTCTTTTTGTGACGATGTATGACGTTGTTTTAGAGAGAGAAATGTGTCTTTTTGTGACGATGTGTGACGTTGTTTTAGAGAGAGAAATGTGTCTTTTTGTGACGATGTGTGACGTTGTTTTAGAGAGAGAAATGTGTCTTTTTGTGACGATGTATGACGTTTTTTTAGAGAGAGAAATGTGTCTTTTTTGTGACGATGTGCGACGTTGTTTTAGAGAGAGAAATGTATCTTTTTGTGACGAAGTATGACGTTGTTTTAGAGAGAAAAATGTGTCTTTTTGTGACGATGTGTGACGTTGTTTTAGAGAGAGAAATGTGTCTTTTGTGACGATGTATGACGTTGTATTAGAGAGAAAAATTTGTCTTTTTGTGACGATGTATGACGTTGTTTTAGAGAGAGAAATTTGTCTTTTTGTGACGATGTATAACGGTGTTTTAGAGAGAGAAATTTGTCTTTTTGTGACGATGTATGACGTTGTTTTAGAGAGAGAAATTTGTCTTTTTGTGACGATGTGTGACGTTGTTTTAGAGAGAGAGAAATGTGTCTTTTTGTGACGATGTATAACGGTGTTTTAGAGAGAGAAATTTGTCTTTTTGTGACGATGTGTGACGTTGTTTTAGAGAGAGAAATGTGTCTTTTTTAGACGATGTATGACGTTGTTTTAGAGAGAGAAATGTGTCTTTTTGTGACGATGTATAACGGTGTTTTAGAGAGAAAAATTTGTCTTTTTGTGACGATGTATGACGTTGTTTTAGAGAGAGAAATGTGTCTTTTTGTGACGATGTATAACGTTGTTTTAGAGAGAGAAATGTGTCTTTTTGTGACGATGTGTGACGTTGTTTTAGAGAGAGAAATGTGTCTTTTTTGTGACGATGTATGACGTTGTTTTAGAGAGAGAAATGTGTCTTTTTGTGACGATGTATGACGTTGTTTTAGAGAGAGAAATTTGTCTTTTTGTGACGATGTATGACGTTTTTTTAGAGAGAGGAATGTGTCTTTTTTGTGACGATGTATGACGTTGTTTTAGAGAGAGAAATGTGTTTTTTGTGACGATGTATGACGTTGTTTTAGAGAGAGAAATGTGTCTTTTTGTGACGATGTGTGACGTTGTTTTAGAGAGAGAAATGTGTCTTTTGTGACGATGTATGACGTTGTATTAGAGAGAAAAATTTGTCTTTTTGTGACGATGTATGACGTTGTTTTAGAGAGAGAAATTTGTCTTTTTGTGACGATGTATGACGTTGTTTTAGAGAGAGAAATGTGTCTTTTTGTGACGATGTGTGACGTTGTTTTAGAGAGAGAAATGTGTCTTTTTGTGACGATGTATGACGTTGTTTTAGAGAGAGAAGTGTGTCTTTTTGTGACGATGTGTGACGTTGTTTTAGAGAGAGAAATTTGTCTTTTTGTGACGATGTATGACGTTGTTTTAGAGAGAGAAATGTGTCTTTTTGTGACGATGTGTGACGTTGTTTTAGAGAGAGAAATGTGTCTTTTGTGACGCTGTATGACGTTGTATTAGAGAGAAAAATTTGTCTTTTTGTGACGATGTATGACGTTGTTTTAGCGAGAGAAATTTGTCTTTTTGTGACGATGTATGACGTTGTTTTAGAGAGAGAAATGTGTCTTTTTGTGACGATGTGTGACGTTGTTTTAGAGAGAGAAATGTGTCTTTTTGTGACGATGTATGACGTTGTTTTAGAGAGAGAAGTGTGTCTTTTTGTGACGATGTGTGACGTTGTTTTAGAGAGAGAAATGTATCTTTTTGTGACGAAGTATGACGTTGTTTTAGAGAGAGAAATGTGTCTTTTTGTGACGATGTGTGACGTTGTTTTAGAGAGAGAAATGTGTCTTTTGTGACGATGTATGACGTTGTATTAGAGAGAAAAATTTGTCTTTTTGTGACGATGTATGACGTTGTTTTAGAGAGAGAAATGTGTCTTTTTGTGACGATGTATGACGTTGTTTTAGAGAGAGAAATGTGTCTTTTTGTGACGATGTGTGACGTTGTTTTAGAGAGAGAAATGTGTCTTTTTGTGACGATGTATGACGTTGTATTAGAGAGAAAAATTTGTCTTTTTGTGACGATGTATGACGTTGTTTTAGAGAGAGAAATTTGTCTTTTTGTGACGATGTATGACGTTGTTTTAGAGAGAGAAATGTGTCTTTTTGTGACGATGTATGACGTTTTTTTAGAGAGAGAAATGTGTCTTTTTTGTGACGATGTGCGACGTTGTTTTAGAGAGAGAAATGTATCTTTTTGTGACGAAGTATGACGTTGTTTTAGAGAGAAAAATGTGTCTTTTTGTGACGATGTGTGACGTTGTTTTAGAGAGAGAAATGTGTCTTTTGTGACGATGTATGACGTTGTATTAGAGAGAAAAATTTGTCTTTTTGTGACGATGTATGACGTTGTTTTAGAGAGAGAAATTTGTCTTTTTGTGACGATGTATGACGTTGTTTTAGAGAGAGAAATGTGTCTTTTTGTGACGATGTATAACGTTGTTTTAGAGAGAGAAATGTGTCTTTTTGTGACGATGTGTGACGTTGTTTTAGAGAGAGAAATGTGTCTTTTTGTGACGATGTATAACGTTGTTTTAGAGAGAGAAATGTGTCTTTTTGTGACGATGTGTGACGTTGTTTTAGAGAGAGAAATGTGTCTTTTTGTGACGATGTATGACGTTGTTTTAGAGAGAGAAATGTGTCTTTTTGTGACGATGTGTGACGTTGTTTTAGAGAGAGAAATGTGTCTTTTTGTGACGATGTATGACGTTGTTTTAGAGAGAGAAATGTGTCTTTTTGTGACGATGTGTGACGTTGTTTTAGAGAGAGAAATGTGTCTTTTTGTGATGATGTGTGACGTTGT